TTCAAATCAATACACCGTTTTGGACTGTCGTACATTTTTATCTTTGCTCCCATCAGGTATCTGGATATGAATACGGCCTCATTGTGCATCCCCCAGTGCACCCAAAGGAATATGTACATATCTAGGGCCACAAACGCCCGTCTTCCTCTTCCTCCTCATTTTAAATCTCCCCGTTTCTCCAGCTGCCACCATTTCCGGGATCATATCATCTGAACGCCTGCCTCCTGCCTCCTACCACTCCCCCCTGCGCTCTATTCTTCAATTTCCAGTATCAGGTCATCTCCCTCCAGGGAAGCATCGGGTGTGACATGAATAGCCTTAATGGTCCCAGCCATTGGGGAGTTGACCACAGTCTCCATCTTCATGGCAGAGAGGACACACAGCGGTTGACCTTTCTCCACCTGTAAGAATTGCAAGCACAGCTCAATAAAAACACGTCAAATGTACAGATCGAGGAACAAAACTAGCTGGTTTAAATTTGGATGTTTATGGCTCATGAAACTCAGAAATTTAGATTCTACTACAGCAATGTGAGGTTTTTCTCTTTAGTCCGCACAAGACTCTTCTGATGATGTCTCAGGTTCAGTGTGCACTACTTTGTGCACTACTTCAAGCACTTTGTTCTCCAATGTGCCCTTCTCTCGTTTTGAACACATTTGTCCTGTTTGTTATTTATTCCCACTGTCTTGCTATTTATTTACAGAAAAGAATTTTGCTGCTGAGGCCAAAGAGACAATCTTTGATAGATTCAAGAAAAAAAGGCCTTGCAATGACTCAACGGGATTAGATCAAGTATCCAAATGTTAAAACATTGAGAGCAATTACAAAAAGCAGAAGTATTTTAATTGAAATGAGAGATCACATGATGAGGAGGGTAAAACTGTAAAAACCCTAGATCAACTGACCTTGGATCCAACTTTAACTTTGACCTCTAGGACCTTTCCAGGCATCGGTGCTCCTACCTGACCCCGGATGGACTTCTGAGCTTTGGGATGGAACTTCATTTCCTGGGTGAAGAGATAAAGAAATACTTAACGCATCCATCTGTCTGGTCAGTCGCTCTTCCAAGTACCCCCCACACACGCCTGTCGCCATTTATCCACTCATCCAGGCAATGATCTATCCATATAGTCATAACTGCCCATTGAAATGTTCCTCCCTGCTGAGTCCCCTTCTACACTTCACAACCATCTGTTTCTATGAATAAAAATCACTAGGGATAGACTGTCTGTCACGAAATCTGCTTTTCTTTTCAACGTGCCAAAAATTTTCAAGAATCTTCCCTTGCATGCTTTATACAATTATAATTCAAGGATATCCAGTCTAACGGTTGTTGATCATTTACCAACTCGCAAGTTTGTCCTTTGATTAAAAGTATTAATTTCTCTGCAACGTCATCAACCCGTCCACTTTCCCAGCTGTATCTCACGTCTCTCCCCAAACATTTCCTGCGTACCTTCATGGCGACTGTGTCTTTAACAAGCACAGATCTCAGCTGTCCATTGAGCTCAAAGAAGACCTCTCTCTGCCCGGCCTTGTTCAGGTCACCCAGTGCCAAGGCCTTGATGTGGAGGATCTTCCCTCTCTCCAGCTCCACCTGAAACACAACAGAGAAGATGAGAAGCGCAGCAAGAAAAATTAAAGAGGGGACGGTGTGCAGGAGGAAGCGATGGTGATTATATTGCATTAGAAGACTGAAATTAACACATGGATACTCAGTTCACAAGTCCAGCTGCAGCAATTAAACAGACTGCAGAGCCTGTTGGAGGAGAAAAAGTTAACTTAGGCAGACAATATTTCCTCCTCTTCCTGAGTTCTTATTGCTTTTAGAGTGGGCTGAAAGCAATAAGACATCTTATGTCTGTGAGAATCTTTATTTGACACTCAA